TCAAACCTTTCACTGTTTCGGTGTATCACAAAGCCAGTATTACTTTTACTTAATTTTGTTTTAATTTAAAGAGAAAAAATAAAAAGTTGCTAGTTGATGCATCTATTTTAACATTTATTTATTTTTGAGACAGAGAGAGACAGAGCATGAACGGGGGAGGGTCAAAGAGAGAGGGAGACACAGAATCTGAAACAGGCTCCAGGCTCCGAGCTGTCAGCACAGAGCCCGACGCGGGGCTCGAACCCACGGACCGTGAGATCATGACCTGAGCCGAAAGTCGGACGCCTAACCGACCGAGCCACCCAGGCGCCCCTAGTTGATGCATCTATTTATAAAAACAGAAGGTGAGAGGCGCACTAGGAAGGGAGAGTGACACAAGAGTATTTGAGGTTTCCTGCGACTTTGGTTCTATAAAAATACATTTATGAGGGACACGAAGCTGAAGCGTCTGCAATAACAACAGATAATTTAAAAAATTCTTTGTGATATAACAGGAAAATGGTGACTGCCTTCAGAACACATAGGGTTTTTTCTCCTTTTATAGGTATGTTTTGAATAATCCATTGAAACGTTCAGACAGTAAAAAAAAATGGGCACTTGCACTAGGTTAGATAACAGTAAATTCCTTCCAAGCAAGGATCTGTCATTCTTTCCCCTTCTACACCCCTGCTTTCATCCACCGGGAGAGCAAATAAGAACTCACTTATAATTATCACTTACCAGACACTACGCTGTGAGCTTTACACAGCCGATCTCACTTAATCTTTGAAATGACCCTATAAAATAGGTATTCTTTTTTTTTTTTTAATTTTTTTTTCAACGTTTTTTATTTATTTTTGGGACAGAGAGAGACAGAGCATGAACGGGGGAGGGGCAGAGAGAGAGGGAGACACAGAATCGGAAACAGGCTCCAGGCTCCGAGCCATCAGCCCAGAGCCCGACGCGGGGCTCGAACTCACGGACCGCGAGATCGTGACCTGGCTGAAGTCGGACGCTTAACCGACTGCGCCACCCAGGCGCCCCTAAAATAGGTATTCTTATGCTAAACAGGCACAAACAGGTTTATACTAACCAGGACAGACGGAGTGTGGAGGAGCACCTGGTTGGCTCAGTGGGTGGAGTGCACGACTCTTGATCTCTGGGTCATGAACTCAAGCCCCACGAGGGGTGTAGAGATTACTTAAAATGAGTCTTCTACATCAATCTATCCATCTAAGTGTGGAGGATTTTATTTTCCAAAGGGGGGAGCTTCTAGATAGCGCATGCCACAAGCTCGTCTTAGTACGTACCTACGCCACTCCTCCATCAAGAGGTGCGACCTGCGTTCTCTACGCTCAACTCTGGGGGATGCGGAGGGGACGCTATGACATTCCCGAGGCTAGGTCAGAGAAGGTCATGCTGCTCCCACCTCGCACCCTTGGGACGCGGATCCTCAGAACCCAAGTGCCACCCCGCGAGGAAGGTCAAGGCACGTGGTGGCAGTAGCGTTCCAGCTGACAGGCCACGGGAAGGTCCCAGGGGACAGCCAGCGTCAGCCGCCAGACACGAGAGTGGCAAACTTCGGAGAGGACTCCAGCCCCAGCCACAATCCAGCTGCGACTGCAGGAGAGGATCCAAGTGAGGCCTGCCTAGCTGAGCCCAGGCCACCCACAGGACCACGAGAGATGAGTTTGTTGGTACCGCCAGCCACCAAGTTGGGGTGATTTGTCAGGAAGCAATCAACAACCAGAATAATGAAGAAAGAAAGGTCAGTAACCTGCGGGAGACCGCCATGTCTGCCTGGCTCTAAAGCCCATGCTCATAACAACTTTCCTGTGTTACTCCCTGCTCCCTACAACTGCACATGATGCAAAACAATAAGAAGGCCACCTTCCCAGAATGCTCAATAACACATCCCTAAACACGTGGGCCTTGCCTAGAAAACAAGGTAGAAAATACACGTAGAAAACCATAAAATGAAGACCAACATGATGACCTAGCGTTCCTGGCCCCACTCTGACCCCAGGCTAGGAGTCCAATTTCACCATTACTCACTTTTCCTATTCATTCTACTTCCATGACTCTGTCTCTGTGACTTCCTGTTCTGGAATCTTTTTTCTCCGTCGTTACATATTTGTCAAGCATTGAATTGATCAGGATGTACACCCACGTGACAATAGGTTTCACCAGTACTCAGACTGGATTTTAAAGTAGAAGAATAAAGATGTAACACTAAACCAATTAATTGAACACTACCAACATGGCCATTTAAAAGAACATATCAAATAATACCCACTAAAAAAAAAAAGACAAAAAACAAAAAACAAACACCCAAAGGTTTAAAGGACATTTAAAAAATGCAAGTATTTACATACATAAAATGTTTATATGAGGGGCACCTGCGTGGCTCAGTCAGTTAAGCATCCAACTCCTGACTTCAGCCCAGGTCATGATCTCACAGTTTGTGAGTTCAAGTCCTGTGTCGGGCTCTGCACTGATGGTGCGAAGCTTGCTTGGGATTCTCTCCTTCCTTCTCTTTCTCTGCCGGTGCTCGCTCTCTCTCTCTCTCTCTCTCTCAAAAATAAATAAACTTTGGGGCGCCTGGGTGGCGCAGTCGGTTAAGCATCCGACTTCAGCCAGGTCACGATCTCGCGGTCCGGGAGTTCGAGCCCCGCGTCGGGCTCTGGGCTGATGGCTCAGAGCCTGGAGCCTGTTTCCGATTCTGTGTCTCCCTCTCTCTCTGCCCCTCCCCCGTTCATGCTCTGTCTCTCTCTGTCCCAAAAATAAATAAATGTTGAAAAAAAAAAATTTAAAAAAAAAAATAAATAAATAAATAAACTTTAAAAAATAAATAAATAAAATGTTTTATGTATAATATGTGTTATTTATTGTTAGAGTATACAACATATAATGCCAGCATTAACGTTAAAAAGGGGGGACAGGGGCACCTGGCTGGCTCAGTCAGTAGGGCCTGTGACTCAGGGTTGTAAGTTCTCAGGGTTGTAAGTTCAAGCCCCACGTTGGGTATAGAGATTACTTAAAAATAAAATCTTGGAGCACCTGGGTGTCTCAGTTGGTTAAGTGTCTGACCCCGGCTCAGGTCATGATCTCACAGTTTGCTTTGTGAGTTTGAGCCCCGCATCAGGCTCTCTGCTGTCAGCACAGAGCCCGCTTTGGATCATCTGTCCCCCTTTCCCACTTGTGTGTGTGCTCTCTCTCTCTCTCAAAATAAATAACTTTGAAAAAAATAAATTCTTGTTAAAAATAAGTAAAAGGGGGGGATGGACACATTTACATATGCTGATACAGATTACATTACATATACAGATACACATTTATATAAACAGACATAGAGAGACTTAAGTGAAACTGTAAGAGTGGTAACCTCTAGCACCGGGGCAGGAAAGGTCTAAGAGGCAAAAGTGAATAAATGGAATGATCAAATGATCAAACCTATCAACAAAACTGGAGACACACTGACAGAGACACAACCTCACCTCTGACGTATTTTTGACCAAAATATTTAAGCTAAAGCTAATCATGAGGAAACAATCAGATAAATCCAAATTGAAGGACATTCTGCAAAATCCATGGCCTGAATTCTTAAAAAAATGTCATGAAACACACAGAAGGCAGGACAGTGTGCCAGTTTAAAGGAGGCCAAAGAGATATGACAACAAAATGCGATTTGTGCTTTTTGATTAGATGCCAGAAAAAATAAAAACACCTATAATGGATGTTATTGGGATACCTGGGAAAATTTGAAATATAGGCTGCATATTGGATAAGAGTACTATATATATCAAGATGTTGTTTGTACTGTGATTATGTAAAATGTCACTGTTCTTAGTAGATACCCACTGAATTATTAGTGGTGAAAAGTACTGATGTGCACTAACTCAAAACGCTCAGCGAAATAAACACTGTACATAATTTAGAGTGTGCAAGGAAGCAGGCACACAAAAGGCAAAATGGTGCATTTAGGTGAAAGATTTATAAACAGTCAATGAATTCTTCTTGCAACTTTCAAACAGATTCAAAATTCTGACAGTAAATAGCTGGGAAGGAAAAAAGGAAAAAAATATGTGTATATGAGTCCACACTATAAGTAAAAATGTAAATAAAGCCTTTTGTAGGCCTTGTGTTCTAACTACAGCTTTGGGTGCATTAACGAAAAAGAAAAACCTGTAAACAATAGCCCAAAAGAAAATAAGAATGTCTTGTAAAGTATGAATGGGGTAAATTATTTTAAATATCTTTGTTTCACAATTTATGCCATAATCAATTACCAATGGACACTTAGGGTACAATGCAAATTTCACATTGCAAGTATACGTAATTAAATCTTTTCACGGCAAAGGAGGTCCGAATTTTTCCATACCTCTAGCAGAAATACAGATCTGTACAGTAATGTGTAAAAAAAAACAAAAACAAAAACAAAAAAACCCATCCAAGTTGGTTGCAGTTCAGTTACTCATAATCCACAAATCCAAGCATAGGTAAAATTTTTACCGTCACATTTTCTAGGACGACCACTTCATTTCCCAACTTCCCAGTAACACTTTCACCAAAAGGTTGTTTCAAAATCCCTACAAAAACAGTTCCAGTAAAAACACTACTATTTGACCCAAAAAAATAAAATAGCCCATCTTTCCTCTCATTTTCCCCTAAACCGATGTCATTAAAGGGCAGAAAGCCGCACAGTAACCGCTCACTACCTTACTGCCGAATGTTCAAGAATCCCAGTTTCAGTCCAGCGTGCAACAACAACAAAACCTTCAAAACTTGTTACATAACCTCCACACCAAAATATGCCTGGGAGGTCTGGGGCTGGGGCGGGGGGGGGGGGGGGG